AGGCTGCTGGGTTTTGCATTCTTTTTCCCTTTCATCGTATTTTTTTCTGAATTTTACTCGATTGCTTTTTATTTCATCTCTTCCCCCTCAGTAAAATTCAGGGGGGGAAAATGATGAAAGGGGAAAAGTTCTCCAGCAAGCTGATTCCGACTCATAGCCACCTTGTATAAGTTCACCAAGGTTGCAAATCTTTACAGGAGCAGACAGCCTCATCTTCCTCCTGAGGAATAGCTAGTGGGTTTGAACCACTGAACTTCAGGTTGGCCGCTTTACATTTATCCCCAAGGCTCTTACATCACTATAGAAATATTAAAGGAAGAAAAAAATAAATATTAAAGGAAACCAAGAGAACCATTCTACAATTTAAGCTCATCCTTGTACATAGGCCAAAGGAGGCAGTCTTGCAAACAGTAGCGGCACACCGCCTGGTTTAAAATAACGTGTGTGTCAGGGTTGTATCCTTTCACCAACCTTATTCAATCTATATGCTGAGCACCTCATCTGAGACGATGGGTTATATGCAGAACAGGACATCAGGATTGGTGGAAGGCTAATTAACAACTTGAGCTATGCAGATGACATAAACTTGCTTGCTGAAACTCAAGAACTGCCATCTTTAGTGTGAGTTACAGCTCAATGTCAAGACCAAAATCCTCACAACTGGGCAGTTGGAAACATAATAAATGGAGAAAGACTAAAGTTATCAAGGATTTCATTCTGCTTGAATACACAATCAATGCTCATGGAAGCAGCAGGCAAGAAATCAGCATATGTATCTGTGGGAAACAAAGATCTCCCCCAGGCTGTCTCCCCTAAATCTAGGCCAAACCTAGCTGCTTGTTACACATGGTGAATGTCTACACTTGGAGGTCAACGAAAAGTAGGTCAGAGGTTATTCTCCCTAAGGGTTATCAGCCATCCAGAGCAAGCAGACACCACTGTTTATCCCACAATAAATAGGGCCCACTCCCTTATGATAAGGATAATAGTAGATTGTTTCCCTGAAGGAGAGCCCTGGGAGGTCAAGCTCACTCAAGGGTGGCCAAGGTTAGGCCACCATCATGAATCTAGGGTCCACCCTTCTGGTCACATGTATACCTCTAGTTCCACCCCTTCCTATCATATGTACATCCCCCAGCTCATCTCCTTCCTGTTACGATTATGCCCATGGTATAGCCCCCTATTGCTTGTTTTGTCTATTGTACAGCCCCTTCCTGTGACATGTGTGGTTACCTGTAATCACGCCCCCCCACCCCCTAAAGATATATAAGCCTTGGTTAACAATAAAAGTCTCTCTCTCTGGCCCACCCGTCTCCCATCTCCACGTGGAACACCAAGTAGGGCTGTAGTGAGCATGCTACCATGAAATGGTCTGACTCCATTATTTCACTCACTCTTCTATCTCTCCTTATTCTCTATGGCTTTACTATATTCTTTACCTAGTATCGCTGTATAATTGTACCTACCAGAGCCGTGATGATTGTTAGGGGATCCCTCCCTCCCCTGGCATGTATTGCTTTAGGCAAATCTGTTGCACAAAACCTCTTCATATGTTAATAAGCAAAGATAACACATTGCTGACTATCGTGCACCATGGTTTCGTCAATCACCTTATAGGCATGGCACAGCGAA